ATCAGTTACATGAAATCGGTCATGCAAAGCGCTTACAACAGTTTTTAAAGTTACAAAAGTTAAAAATCAAAAGTAGACAATAAAATCAGAAAACTAACAAAAATTTAACTCCAAAGACAATGTTTACAAAACTTCGGGAAAATTAAGTTACCTTCTCTGACTAGAGAGTTCCGAACAGGGAACATAATTCATAAACGGTAAAATTAAATTGCCAAAAATTTATAAAAATAGAAAAATTCCAAAAACACTATTTCATGAGTAATTCAACAAAGAAATGATTACTAGTAATGTAATTATATAATTTTAAACATTATTTGAACATTAAATGAAACCAGCAATTTGAAATTAATAACACATTTCAGATATTTAAAAATGAAGTGTAAGCCAAATGAACAAAGTAATTTATCCTAATTCCGTATCAAGAATACTTTATAGGAAATCATTAAAACATTAATTAAAAATAACTATAATGAAATTAAATCTAATCTTTAACTTTCAAATAAAATAACACAAGCTTACCTAAATTGGCAAAGAGAAACAATTCCGATTAAAGTTGAACGATGTTTATTGTAAAGTCAGCAGATAGAAAGTGAATTTGCTAAATTCACAATCTATCCGGACTCTACATCGGAATTGAACTCTTGACCAATCAGGAAGCTTGTTACAAAAATTACTGCAGGTAAGTCGGCAATTTCTTTTGATAGGCCTGACACTGATTACTTACATTATCAAAGAGCCGAAAGGTGATGAAGTCAATTAGCTAAATTTCCGTTTTGAGTTTTTAACAATAGGAAGATTAGGTGAAGCCGAAACAAAATAAACAAGATTCTAAATCGTACAATTAATTTAATACCTGTGACATAGCAGTGTGTCAAGCCAATCTCGCAAAGAATTTGCCAACAAAAAGGCCGAAATAAAAAAAGAATTTTACAGTTTATTTAGTAGATAAAATAATTGTTTCGCAACCTGTCATGAGTAAATTGATTTCCGAAAGGTGACAGATTGCTTAAATTCCGCATTTAATGGATTCAAGAAAGCGTATATTTTTTCGTGATACAGAAAAATAAAAATAGAAATTATTTTAAGAAAACTTGATGAAATTAAACAAAATTGAAATTAAGAAAAAGGAATTATTTTCATAAAAATTAAAACAAATTTAAAATTTCAAATTGTAATGAATTAAAATTCATATAATATAACCTGTTACATTAAAATTTTAGAATTCATAGAATTTAAAACTAACTATAACAATCTTTGTTATAGTTAGTTTTAAATTCTATGAATTCTAAAACTTTAATGTAACATATATATTCATTTACGTTTAATATGTACTCTATACAGAATGAAAATAAAGTAACAGTACTTATAAGGGTTGAGGTAAATCATTCACAATTTACTTAGGAAAAGAAAAGAGGCATACAAAGTGAGGACTTTTCTATTTCCGACTCTCAGTTTTCAAAGTTCTTACATGTACTAGAAAACAATTATTTTCAAAAAATAGGTAATCAGAAATGTCTTTGACACATTTGATTTTTTATTTCATGTATTTAATGGCATAAAGGTTTGGCGTGTCAGGAAGACAAAAATATCCAACAGTATTTGAATTCTCAAAACAACAATTAAGATATAGCAATAAAATACGCGCGATTTGTTTTAGGTTTTTAATTTCATGATAAAGGCGTTAACCTCTTTATTACACGGTCTCCTAATCAGTGTAGATTTTCAGACTAGCTGGTTTATAAGTAAACGAGTTTGTTGGGGTATATCATTTTTTTTTCTTTAGGAAGAAAAACCCATAAAATTTCATACAGAATGCGTTCAGAGTACTTTTATTTTTAAACAATGTTTTATCTTCCGTACATTGTAAATACATACCAGTATGCAAAATGGAAAGTTTACCAATGTCTCTTTCTTTTAAAAAATTACTTTGTCCCAGATCATGCGCTGAAACAGGATCTTCCTTGCCTTGTTAAAATTTGTTGAAATTATACATAAAGCAGGTGCGATTTATGTCATTGATACAACGTAAACCCGCAATTTTTAGGTCACCTGAGTCACTCAGTTGACCTATTGCTATCTGTTTTTGTCCGTCGTTGTGCGTCGTGCGTTAACTTTTGAACATTTTTAACTTCTTCTCTAGAACCGCTCAACCAATTTCAACCAAATTTGGTATATAGCATCTATGGGTGAAGGGGAACAAAAATTGTGAATTTCATGGTCCCTGCCCCCCCGGGGCCTGAGGGGTGGGGCTAAAACCACCAAAAATAATGCAATCTTTAAAAATCTTCTTCTTTACTCCCGGATATGAAGCAGTCAAACTGTTGGCATCATTGTAATAAGCATTGAGCCCTCTACCAAAATTGTGAAATTCATGGCCCCAGGGTTAGGGGTTCTGGCCCCAGGGTGGGGCTATATAGATCATATAGTGAAAGTGCATAAATTCTTTGAAAATCTTCTTCTCTGCTCCTGGGTATTAAATAAAGTTACTAAGTACATAGTTATGATGAGCAAGACTGTCTCTTCCAAAATTGTGAAATTCATGGCCCCAGGGTCAGGGGTTCTGGTGTTAGGGTGGGGCTGTATTGATTATATAGTGAAAATGCATTAATTCTTTGAAAATCTTCTTCTCTGCTCCTGGGTATTAAATAAAGGAACTAAGTACATAGTTATGATGAGCAAGACTGCCTCTTCCAAAATTGTGAAATTCATGGCCCCAGGGTCAGGGGTTCTGGTGTTAGGGTGGGGCTGTATTGATTATATAGTGAAAATGCATTAATTCTTTGAAAATCTTCTTCTCTGCTCCTGGGTATTAAATAAAGGAACTAAGTACATAGTTATGATGAGCAAGAGTGCCTCTTCCAAAATTGTGAAATTCATGGCCCAAGGGTCAGGGGTTCTGGCCCCAGGGTGGGGCTATATAGATCATATAGTGAAAGTGCATTAATTCTTTGAAAATCTTCTTCTCTGCTCCTGGGTATTAAATAAAGGAACTAAGTACATAGTTATGATGAGCAAGAGTGCCTCTTCCAAAATTGTGAAATTTATTGCCCCAGGGTCAGGGGTTCTGGCCCCAGGGTGGGGCTATATAGATCATATAGTGAAAGTGCATTAATTCTTTGAAAATCTTCTTCTCTGCTCCTGGGTATTAAATAAAGTTACCAAGTACATAGTTATGATGAGCAAGAGTGCCTCTTCCAAAATTGTGAAATTCATGGCCCCAGGGTCAGGGGTTCTGGTGTTAGGGTGGAGCTGTATTGATTGTATAGTGAAAATGCATTAATTCTTTGAAAATCATCTTCTCTGCTCCTGGGTATTAAATAAAGAAACTAAATACATAGTTATGATGAGCAAGACTGCCTCTTCCAAAATTGTGAAATTCATGGCCCCAGGGTCAGGGGTTCTGGCCCCAGGGTGGGGCTATATAGATCATATAGTGAAAGTGCATTAATTCTTTGAAAATCTTCTTCTCTGCTCCTGGGTATTAAATAAAGTTACCAAGTACATAGTTATGATGAGCAAGAGTGCCTCTTCCAAAATTGTGAAATTCATGGCCCCAGGGTCAGGGGTTCTGGTGTTAGGGTGGGGCTGTATTGATTATATAGTGAAAATGCATTAATTCTTTGAAAATCTTCTTCTCTGCTCCTGGGTATTAAATAAAGAAACTAAATACATAGTTATGATGAGCAAGACTGCCTCTTCCAAAATTGTGAAATTCATGGCCCCAGGGTCAGGGGTTCTGGCCCCAGGGTGGGGCTATATAGATCATATAGTGAAAGTGCATTAATTCTTTGAAAATCTTCTTCTCTGCTCCTGGGTATTAAATAAAGTTACCAAGTACATAGTTATGATGAGCAAGAGTGCCTCTTCCAAAATTGTGAAATTCATGGCCCCAGGGTCAGGGGTTCTGGTGTTAGGGTGGGGCTGTATTGATTATATAGTGAAAATGCATTAATTCTTTGAAAATCTTCTTCTCTGCTCCTGGGTATTAAATAAAGGAACTAAGTACATAGTTATGATGAGCAAGAGTGCCTCTTCCAAAATTGTGAAATTCATGGCCCCAGGGTCAGGGGTTCTGGTGTTAGGGCAGGGCTCTATAAATTATATAGTGAAAATGCATTAATTCTTCGAAAATCTTCTTCTTTGCTCCTGGGTATTTAATAAAGTAACTAAGTACGTAGTTATGATGAGGAGGTGGGCCTCTTCCAGAATTGTGAAAGCCATGGCCCCTGGGTCAGGGGTTCTCGTGTTAGGGCGGGGCTCTATTGATTATATAGTAAAAATGCTTTAATTTTTTGAAAATCTTCTTCTCTGTTCCTGGGTATTATTTAAACAAACTAAGTGCATGGTTATGATGCATAAGGATGCCTTTTCAAAAATTGTGAATTTCATGGCCCCAGGGTCAGGGGTTCTGGTGTTAGGGTGGGGCTGTATTGATTATATAGTGAAAATGCATTGATTCTTTGAAAATCTTCTTCTCTGCTACTGGAGACTATTTAAACGCATAAGGATGCCTTTTCAAAAATTGTGAATTTCATGGCCCCAGGGTCAGGGGTTCTGGTGTTAGGGCGGGGCTCTATTGATTATATAGTGAAAATGCATTGATTCTTTGAAAAACTTCTCTGCTACTGGAGATTATTTAAACAAACTAAGTGCATGATTATGATAGACAAGGATGCCTCTTCCAAAATTTTTAAATATATGGCCTCAGTTTTTGGGGTTCTTGAGGGGGGGGGGGGGGGGGGCTAGGGCAACAATGCTTCATCTATCAGTGTATTTAACTTCTAAATTGTTGTATTATACTCAGGTGACCGTTAAGGCCCTTGGGCCTCTTGTTAATAACGTCACAACTATTGTAACGTCATTTACGTGTGACGTTACCTTTTTTGGCAATTCAAAAATTTACGTTGGCAGCGAAAGGGTTAAGACCATAGGCCTCTTGATTAGGATAAGTGATTCAGGTGAGCACTGTGTTCCATGACTTTCTTGTTTAATGTTTACAGTTCTGGTGTCAGGACCCTTCCACACAATGCAAAAATCCACTACAACTATGCAAACTACCTCAAAGATACAGGACAGTTAAACACAGCCAAAATCCACTACGAGACAGCAATCAGGTACATACACTTCTCAAATTAACGTTCAGAGCTATCTCAGAAGTTTTTATTTTCTCTGTTACCGTAATTATGATATGAATTAAACAACAAAGAAATCTGCATGTATCATCAATTAATTTTCTAATTTTCTTCTTTGATGCTTCTTCAAAATTTTAATTTCATTACAGATTATACCAAGACTTGCCTAGTGCTCACAATAATCTAGGAACATTACTCAATGACACAATGGCAGCAGAATTTCACTATGAGGCAGCACTGAGGATAAATCCAGATCATAGGGGAGCACTGATCAATCTAGGTTCTTCTCTTATGTAAGTACATGTAATTAAAAGAAATTAAATCAAATATAAGTATTTTATTACTGGGTTTGGGGGGGGGGGGGTGCAAGGAGGCAGCATTTGAGTGGAGGGGTGGTGAAGGCAGCGTAACTTCTTTAAACTACTAAGCTGTCAGAAAACCATAAAGTAAGCATAGAATTTCATGTATGACTGTATAGAAAGTAAATATTTGAAACACTTTTTCAGTAAAAGGGGAAAAAGGCATCGGGGACAGGAACTAATTGACAGAGTCCTTGACCTAGATCCTGAGAATGTGGAGGCCATTATAGTGAAGGCTTGGGTCAGTATGGAGGAGGGTAACTGGACAGTAGCAGGGCAGTTCTTCCAGAGGGCCCTAGAGAGAGATCCAATGAATTCAGAGGCTCTCTATTATTATGGAAAGTACTGGCATCAAAGAGGTACATCTTTAAAAGCAATGTTTAAAAGATGCTTATAAATTACTTAGGTTAAAGGTTAACTGGCAATTTGTATGAAAATTTTAGGAATTCAAACAAGGATGTGCAACAGCAACGTTAATTTCCAAAAATTATCTGGTGTAATTGGTTGATTGTGTTAAACTGCAATAATGTAGCCCTCTCCCATTTTTTTTTCAATCGGATATTTCAAATATGGGAGGGCTACATTATGTATTGCAGTTAATTGTGTTTTGTCAGGTGACTTGGAGAGAGCAGTGAAGCTGTACAGGAAGGCATTCTTGACAGATTCTAGACAGTGGTTGGCCATGGTTAGTGCAGGAGATGCCCTCAAACAGTTGGGAAAGTACCATGAAGCTGAGGAAATTCTCAGCAGGTAATTTTTTACTTGAATAACCATTTAAGGTTCATTCAAGGTACTCTGATAAGAGAGATAACTCTTTATGACATAAAAGACTCATTCCTTTATAAATTTGACAATCTATGCTATAATTGTTTGTATTTCATTTATAAAATACATTTCTTTTCGAAAATCATAAACATTAAAGCAATATTTTATATGAGTGAGCAGAGGGTTTATGAACCTTAAAGCTTACATTTAGATTGCACAATTTCAAGATGAATAACCTACCATATTATAAATTTCTTACAGCTTTAAAATGTTAAGATCTGCAATTTCAAATTTTAAATATTCAGATTGTGCTTTGTAGATCTCTGATGATAAGCCGCAGCATTCAGGCCATGGATTCTCTCGGACTTTTGTATTTCCGTTTGGGTAGGGTGTCAGACTCCATTAACATGTACAAAGAAATCCAGACATTAGATCCAGATAACGCACAGTCCCTCCTACATTTTGTAAGTATAACATCAAATACTGTTGATTCCTTATTTTTCGCAAGTACTTTTTTTTTTGCAAAATGGCTCTTTAATGTCAAATCGCGAGAACAATAATTTGCGAGTGGACGGTTGATCTAGAGATTTTACATTGATTTCAGCACTATAAAAAATAAAAGCGAGTAATTTTATTTTGCGAGTGGTTCTTTTCTCGTAATTACACGATAATCAATTCCTCGCGTATATTTAGGAATCTACAGTAGAACAGATGTCAGTTCTTGTCAGTAATTTAAGGGAAACAATTAATTACTTTTGGACAGCTATTTTGCTCTTTATTATTATTATTATTATCATAAAGAATTTTCAGATACTTTCTACATCAAAAAAATTACTCAGAAAAAGAACTTTTGACCTTTAAACTACATATTTCATTTGATGAAGATTCCATGATGTTTTTCACCAAAAAGTCTAAATTTACCATAAAAAAATAATACATGTATATCTTAAATTATTAACTATTTGTAGACACCCTTCTTATCAAAAGAACTTTGCCTTAATAGACACATTTTCTTTGAGTTGCAAAATATCATAAATGTGGATAGTTTATTTGCATCAGGGAGCTGATAACAAAAATTGATCTAGACATTACATATTTCTTAAATGATCAAATGAAATGAATTTTGTTGTGCTTAGGCTCAGATATTGGGAAACATGGGAGAATCAGAGAGAGCGGAGGAAGTTCTGACAGAAATCTTACAGAAAAATCCTCAAAATCCTGATGCCATGGTACAAATGTCCAATGTACTGGGACAACAGAATAAACACAACCAGGTAACACACAAAGGGCAATAACTCAGTTTATAATACATGTATATATTGAGCAACAGAGGAACAACAATATTCAAGTGCCATTAAATTGGGTCACATGTTTTCCTTTTATTTCCACTGCTGTATTTTAAATGGAAATATTCAGTTACTCTTTCAAATAAAGAAATATGTTTACAAGTCTAATTTTGAATATCATTTACTTTCTAGGCTTTGAATTACTTGAGGGATGCCATCAAAATAACGCAGAGAGAAAACAACAGAAACAAACTAGAGATATTACTCTTTCAGCAGGCTAGTCATTACAAAGATTTGAAAAGATATGATGAGGCTTTACAGGTAGGGATTTTACAAAAATGACCTTGTGATTTCATTTTAAAATTGAAACTCTGATTATTCTGTAATGACCCTCCTGTGGCATTATAGAAATTTGATATCTATATAACTATGATTTGTGATAAAGGTTTCCATAATTTCAGAGTTACAATGAAACTATTAAAATAAATCCAATGAAGAAAGAAGCACACCTCAACATTGGGGCCATTTTTCATCTCCAGGTATGAAACAATAGTTTTAAGCCTAAATCCAATAAAAATGATTTCTTTCTTTGGTTGCTACTACTAGAATGCATATGACTTGATATTAACTATTACCTGTGATCTTATATAGTTTTTTATTCTGATTTCAGAGACACTACACAAAAGCTAAGTACCACTATGGTATAGTCCTAAAACAAGATCCAGAGAACAGGCTAGCCAAGGAAAATCTAGCCAAATTGATAAATATTGAGAAGAAGCAAACACAAACATAACCATTGGGGGATCTCTTTAGAGAACAAAGATCAGGGCTTATTTTCAATTTCTGTAACAAAAAACCAGTTTCTGTATTTAAAATCTATGGATGTTGACTTATCTTTAATTTCAAACATATGAAATGTATGGCAGCTGTTTTGTTCAAAATTTGATAAGGTGAAATGAGACTTGCAATATGTCAAAGGGAAACTTTTTTATCTCCACAGCATTGTTTTTTTTTTTCACGTGTGTCTCTGTTTCATACTATATATATATTTTAATAATGATGTACTTGTATAACTTTATCCTCGCTCAATATTTTCCACTTCAATTTTTCCCTCCGAATTTATTTGATTTTATGTGTCAATATATTTCTTACAATAACTTGGATTTATTTGATTGGAAATGTAAAATTATAAAACTAAAGTTTTTCATCACCAGTACAAAAATAAATCACAGATATACATTTTTTGAGGGTACACTTTGGAGCATTTATTTAGTGCTTTTTTTGTCATTGGTAACTTCTGACATTAGTTTTTAGTGGTTTAATTTAGAATGTTTATTTTATACATGTAGTACATGTACATGTATATGCAGCATATGCCATTAATTGTGCCAAATATGTATTTTAATATTGATATAATATTTGTATTTTAATGATATATTTTTATTTTGTTTATACATGAATAATTTTCATGTTTTGTTATTAAAATGTCTTTAAAAACAAAGAACAGTATTTGCAATCATTATTGTATAGTGAACACATGAGGATTTTAATTGACAGGTATCAAAGACAATGTCTTATATGCAAGGTTTACTGACAGGTATCAAAGACAATGCCTTACATAGCAAGGTTAACTGACAGATATCAAAGACAATGTCTTACATAGCAAGGTTTACTGACAGTTATCAAAGACAATGTCTTACATGGTAAGGTTCACTGACAGGAATCAAAGACAATGTCTTACACAGCAAGGTTTACTGACAGGTATCAAAGACAATGCCTTACATACCAAGGTTTAATGACAGGGATCAAAGACAATGTCTACATAGCAAGGTTAACTGACAGGGATCAAAGGCAATGTCTTAGATAGCAAGGTTTACTGACCAGTATCAAAGACAATGTCTACATAGCAAGGTTTACTGACCAGTATCAAAGACAATGTCTACATAGCTAGGTTTACTGACAGGTATCAAAGACAATGCCTTACATAGCAAGTTTTATTGACAGGGATCAAAGACAATGTCTACATAGCAAGGTTAACTGACAGGGATCAAAGGCAATGTCTTAGATAGCAAGGTTTACTGACCAGTATCAAAGACAATGTTAACATAGCTAGGTTTACTGACAGGGATCAAAGGCAATTTCTTACATAGCAAGGTTTACTGACAGGTATCAAAGACAATGTCTTACATGGCAAGGTTCACTGACAGGAATCAAAGACAATGTCTTACACAGCAAGGTTTACTGACAGGTATCAAAGACAATGTCTACATAGTAAGGTTTACTGACAGGTATCAAAGACAATGTCTTACATAGCAAGGTTTACTGACAGGTAACAAAGACCGTGTCTTACATGGCAAGGTTCACTGACAGGTATCAAAGACAATGTCTTACATAGCAAGGTTTACTGACAGGGATAAAAGGCAATGTCTTACATAGCGAGGTTTACTGACAGGTATCAAAGACCATGCCTTACATAGCAAGGTTTACTGACAGGGATCAAAGACAATGTCTACATAGCAAGGTTAACTGACAGGGATCAAAGGCAATGTCTTAGATAGCAAGGTTTACTGACCAGTATCAAAGAAAATGTCTACATAGCAAGGTTTACTGACCAGTATCAAAGACAATGTCTACATAGCTAGGTTTACTGATGGGGATCAAAGACAATGTCTTACATGGTAAGGTTCACTGACAGGAATCAAAGACAATGTCTTACACAGCAAGGTTTACTGACAGGAATCAAAGACAATGCCTTACATAGCAAGGTTTACTGACAGGGATCAAAGACAATGTCTACATAGCAAGGTTAACTGACAGGGATCAAAGGCAATGTCTTAGATAGCAAGGTTAACTGACCAGTATCAAAGACAATGTCTACATAGCAAGGTTTACTGACCAGTATCAAAGACAATGTCTACATAGCTAGGTTTACTGACAGGTATCAAAGACAATGCCTTACATAGCAAGTTTTACTGACAGGGATCAAAGACAATGTCTTACATGGCAAGGTTCACTGACAGGAATCAAAGACAATGTCTTACACAGCAAGGTTTACTGACAGGTATCAAAGACAATGTCTACATAGTAAGGTTTACTGACCAGTATCAAAGACAATGTCTACATAGCTAGGTTTGCTGACAGGGATCAAAGGCAATTTCTTACATAGCAAGGTTTACTGACAGGTATCAAAGACAATGTCTTACATGGCAAGGTTCACTGACAGGAATCAAAGACAATGTCTTACACAGCAAGGTTCACTGACAGGAATCAAAGACAATGTCTTACACAGCAAGGTTTACTGACAGGTATCAAAGACAATGTCTACATAGTAAGGTTTACTGACAGGTATCAAAGACAATGTCTTACATGGCAAGGTTTACTGACAGGTATCAAAGACAATGTCTTACATAGCAAGGTTTACTGACAGGGATAAAAGGCAATGTCTTACACAGCAAGGTTTACTGACAGGTATCAAAGACCATGCCTTACATAGCAAGGTTTACTGACAGGGATCAGAGACAATGTCTACATAGCAAGGTTAACTGACAGGGATCAAAGGCAATGTCTTAGATAGCAAGGTTTACTGACCAGTATCAAAGACAATGTCTACATAGCAAGGTTTACTGACCAGTATCAAAGACAATGTCTACATAGCTAGGTTTACTGACAGGGATCAAAGGCAATTTCTTACATAGCAAGGTTGACTGACAGGTATCAAAGACAATGTCTTACATGGCAAGGTTTACTGACAGGTAACAAAGACCATGTCTTACATGGCAAGGTTCACTGACAGGTATCAAAGACAATGTCTTACATAGCAAGGTTTACTGACAGGGATAAAAGGCAATGTCTTACATAGCGAGGTTTACTGACAGGTATCAAAGACCATGCCTTACATAGCAAGGTTTACTGATAGGGATCAAAGACAATGTCTACATGGCAAGGTTCACTGACAGGTATCAAAGACAATGTCTTACATAGCAAGGTTTACTGACAGGGATAAAAGGCAATGTCTTACATAGTGAGGTTAACTGACAGGTATCAAAGACCATGTCTACATAGCAAGGTTTACTGACAGGTATCAAAGACCATGTCTTACATGGCAAGGTTCACTGACAGGGATCAAAGACAATGCCTTACATAGCAAGGTTTACTGACCAGTATCAAAGACAATGTCTACATAGCAAGGTTTACTGACAGGTATCAAAGACAATGCCTTACATAGCAAGGTTTACTGACAGGGATCAAAGACAATGTCTACATAGCAAGGTTAACTGACAGGGATCAAAGGCAATGTCTTAGATAGCAAAGTTTACTGACCAGTATCAAAGACAATGTCTACATAGCAAGGTTTACTGACAGGTATCAAAGACAATGTCTACATAGCTAGGTTTACTGACAGGTATCAAAGACAATGCCTTACATAGCAAGGTTTACTGACAGGGATCAAAGACAATGTCTACATAGCAAGGTTAACTGACAGGGATCAAAGGCAATGTCTTAGATAGCAAAGTTTACTGACCAGTATCAAAGACAATGTCTACATAGCAAGGTTTACTGACCAGTATCAAAGACAATGTCTACATAGCTAGGTTTACTGACAGGGATCAAAGGCAATTTCTTACATAGCAAGGTTTACTTAGGTATCAAAGACAATGTCTTACATGGCAAGGTTCACTGACAGGAATCAAAGACAATGCCTTACATAGCAAGGTTTACTGACAGGGATCAAAGACAATGTCTACATAGTAAGGTTAACTGACAGGGATCAAAGGCAATGTCTTAGATAGCAAGGTTTACTGACCAGTATCAAAGACAATGTCTACATAGCTAGGTTTACTGACAGGTATCAAAGACAATGCCTTACATAGCAAGGTTTACTGACAGGGATCAAAGGCAATGTCTTAGATAGCAAAGTTAACTGACAGGGATCAAAGGCAATGTCTTAGATAGCAAAGTTTACTGACCAGTATCAAAGACAATGTCTACATAGCAAGGTTTACTGACCAGTATCAAAGACAATGTCTACATAGCTAGGTTTACTGACAGGGATCAAAGGCAATTTCTTACATAGCAAGGTTTACTTAGGTATCAAAGGCAATGTCTTACATGGCAAGGTTCACTGACAGGAATCAAAGACAATGCCTTACATAGCAAGGTTAACTGACAGGGATCAAAGACAATGTCTACATAGCAAGGTTAACTGACAGGGATCAAAGGCAATGTCTTACATAGCAAGGTTTACTGACCAGTATCAAAGACAATGTCTACATAGCTAGGTTTACTGACAGATATCAAAGACAATGTCTTACATAGCAAGGTTTACTGACAGATATCAAAGACAATGCCTTACATAGCAAGGTTTACTGACAGATATCAAAGACATTGTCTTAGATAGCAAGGTTTACTGACAGGGATCAAAAGCAATATCTACATAGCAAGGTTTACTGACAGGGATCAAAGGCAATGTCTTAGATAGCAAGGTTTACTGACCAGTATCAAAGACAATGTCTACATAGCAAGGTTTACTGACAGATATCAAAGACAATGTCTACATAGCAAGGTTTACTGACAGGTATCAAAGACAATGTCTACATAGCAAGGTTTACTGACCAGTATCAAAGGCAATGTCTACATAGCAAGGTTTACTGACAGGGATCAAAGGCAATGTCTTGCATAGCAAGGTTTACTGACAGGTATCAAAGACAATGTCTACATAGCAAGGTTAACTGACAGGGATCAAAGGCAATGTCTTGCATAGCAAGGTTTACTGACAGGTATCAAAGACAATGCTTACATGACAAGGTTTATTGGCAAGTATCAATGAAAGACAGTGTCTTTACCCTTTACATTTAGTGAACAAATTCAACAATCAAAGATTTGTTGGTTCATCTCAAATGTGGCATAATTTAATATTCATTGAGATGAGTTCTTTTGTCTAATGCATAGCAAAAAGTACTGCAACAAAATCAGGTTCAATTATATGCATCCCCTGAAGCATCATGTACATGTGTGTTTATAGGATTTAATGAAGTTTTATCAGGTACTGAATGTGGGGCATATCTATATGTAAGACTTTTACAGCATCTGCATCCTGATGCTTAGCATCTTTGAACACGAAATGCAATTTTGAATAGACCTGCTAAAACACAAGCCTAACCACTCATCTAGAAGACAGAAGTCAATAGAAGTATTCAAAATTTTCTTGCACATCTGCACAATCATAATACAGCTATACTATAGCAGAATAATATTTCTAAACCCAAAAATGGTTAAAGGAAGAAAATTGTTCCAAAGCCTTAAACCCAGTCACTGATGTTTCAAGTACCAGTACAGGTTAGGTACAGCATTTGATCTAAAACTGGAGTATGCATCCCTATATTAAGGTGCATTATTGATGCTAGTAGTTTATAATAAGCTTTGCAAGTTGTCACGTCTTTTGCATTTGCTGATAATATAAATACAGGTACACTTTCTCCTTTTGCTTTCACAATACGGATGTGAACTTTTCTTGAATTGTGCTCTCATCTGACATAGGTAATAAGTAGGGATGGCAATCGAATACAGAATTGCTAATCGGTTAACCGCAAGACGTTCCGACCGATTAACCGGTTAATTGTATCAAAACAGATATTTTCTTATTCATATACACAAGAAGACTGAAAAAGAAGTTAAAAGTTAAAAACATTCTATTTATCTTGATCAGGAAACTACATGTAAATATATTTTATTTCAATTTCAATAATCAAGAAAAAAAATAAGAAAACCATGAAACATGTCTGAGAAATCGGGCATTGATAATTTTTCAGAGCATATGTCACACAGGTTCATTTTGCATTGTTACAATAATCAAAACTATAACTGAACTTTCACTTAATTTACAATGTTTGTCTAATGATATAATTTAATAGATAACGGCAAAAGACACAACACCAATTCATAGTGCTCAACGGTGATTTAATATCATTAAAGAATTACAGGACAATTGGGCTTACAAAGTGGTGTTTTTAAAAACAGTAATTAACTTCACAAACTGACCAACTACTCCGCGATCTCAAACCGTAAAGCCATAATTACCTCCAAATCAGCTTAAACAGATATGTGTAAATTATCAAACTCTATGCAGGGATTTTGTTTAGAAATAATTTTGGGAAAATTGCTTCAAATTTACATATATTTTATTTTTCCCGACTAACCGATTACAGATTTTCTAACCGATTACCATCGTTCCGACCGAGTAATCGGTTAACCGGTTATAAATTGCCATCCCTAGTAATAAGAGATTACAGATCTCACCTCAAAGAATGTTGTCTTTAAGTAAGGCAAAGTTACTTTGCCCACACTAAACTAATAATCTAGTAGTGTGCATCCCTAGATGCAACATTATGATAGGGCTTGCAGTTACTTGGGAATGGACTTATTTAAAAACTTTGAACTAGTCACTTATCTAGAAAATGTAAGTCAAATCCAGCATCTGAAGCAAGTTTCAGAGTGTAAATCCCTTGATGCATAATCCACGTAAGTTTGGTTCAGATAGGCCTTAAACATGTAGTTATTTGGAAAAGAGATCTGCTCCCAAAACCTTAACCTGGTCACTCATCAGGGAAATATATTAGTCAGATCCAGCATCCAAAGCAAGCATGGTAGTGTGCATCCTTAGGTGTATCATCCATGCAAGTTTGGTCATCGTAGGGCTTAAAGTTACTTGGAAATGAGACCTGCTCTAAAAATTTTAACCTGGTCATTCTTTAGCTGAAATTGCAGCATCTGAAACCTTGACTGGTACAGTGAAACACACTAAAAGCGTCCTCCATGCATCTCTGATTAATATAAGGCATAGAAGTACTTGGAAAGAAAGCCGCTCCAAAAACTTGAACCTTGGATGCCAACACCGACACTGAGGGTATTATATAAGCTCCCCCAACTTCATTGAGGTGAGCTAAAAATTGAAAATCCTTGAAAAGGAGAGTGCAGTATAACTTTTACTTATTATCTAACATAAATATGGCCATGCTTTTATTAATTTAAACATCTAATAGGCTTGCTGGACCAAACTTCTGCTAAATTCAGTCTTTATTCAGCTTGGCTTTCAAGTAGAAAAGGTTACTATTCAGTAGTGTTCTTCAAGAATTCTTTCATACACTATCAAACAAATGTACCCAAAGATCTTATCACATTGTTTTAGACAATAAAAAGAATACATTTCCCATTCAAAATATGAAATTTATTAATGACAGTATTACACTCTTTGTAACTTTTCCTACAGTGTTACTTCAAAAAGTTTTTTATCACAATACTCTAGGCATTAAGGATGTCATCCACTCCCTGATCCTTTGGCCTGTTGACCTAAAAAGAAAGTCAAGTGTTGCAAAACCTTAAGTTTTCTATAAAACATTATGTGCCAGGGTTAGAAACTCCCTAAAATTACAACTCGCAATTAATTGCGAGTGCCAATAAAGTGAACTCGCAATTTTATAAGACTACTCGCAATTTTCATATACAGTTAAATTTATATAAATTAAATACATGTAACTTAAGGAAAAAGTAACTACTATACAATACACAAAATACAACTACAGTATAACTTTTATTTAAATTACTGATTTAAATCAAAAGTATATTATATAATTTTGCTATAGTTTCAATGCAAAAAAAACTCAACTCGCAAGTTTTTGCGAGTTACCTAATTTTAAACTCACAATTTGGGAATTCTAACTCGCGTTTTGCAAGTTGTATATAGTGAATTTCGAACCCTGTGTGCATAAATTTGTGAAAACATGCTATCTAATGCGTAATTTTCAACATCCCAACAATTTCCTAATCAAACAAATTGCCCTCATAATTTCACACAAATACAAAAAATGTATTCATCTCAATGATCCTTTTCCCATTCCACTTTACCTCCATAAGACAAATTCCTATCTGTTGTGAAGATCTCATCATATTAGTCCTATGACTTACCAGTACTTGATAATGGCTTTCCATCCTCCCATTTCGTGACCCTCACAATTGAGTTATTTCTTTTCATGGCTTCTATTTTCAGTTCTGGTTTAAGGCTATTTCGAAGAGCCCTTGCACAGGCATTAGAGTACTGGATATATCTAAAATCAAATATATATATTTATTTACGCAAAACGTCACACACAACACTGCAAGTTTTTCAAACATTTTTTCCCAGTAAAAAGCTTGTTTTCTGGTTAATGTAAGAATGGATCTTTAATAAATTTTAAAGCACATGTTAAAAAATAATTTAGATATTAAGTAAACAACCACCAAAATCAGCGAATTCTCAGAAATACGGCCGATCAGGGGCATGCACTGATTTTTAAATAAACGTAATTACTACTAAGATAAGGAGTAAAAACAGTGCCAACAACAGATAAATTAAGGTTTTATTCTGAAATATTTGATAGCAAAAGAGATATATTTAATTAACATGACTTCCGAAATCCCGCAACTTACGAGATATTGCGAGACTTGCAAGAGTTGCCTATCCCGTTAGTATATAGGTCCCTGATTTAAAGGATATTGCATACAGATAGTAGATTAAACATTCTTTGGTAAAATTTTGCAGTTTTCAAACTTCGTTTATGGAAATGCAGCTTACATACGACGTCATGTGATGTCCCATTCTAGACATTCTAAATGTCTTGTGCGGTTTGAAGAGGCAGGTCTTAAAATTAAGTGAACAACTGCGCTCACCCCAACGGTCGCACCGTCAACATATTATCTCTGCTGACAGTCTATATTTTTAAAATGTAAGATTTTGTAAAGAATTGCAAACCATGTTGCTTTTAATGGTTTCAGAGAGATACACTCAATTTTTACATGAAAGTTACTTAAGTTAAAGATATCATAGCATATTATTCATATTAATCCTTGATTTTTTAAAGTTGAGTCAATTCGGGTTACTACACTACTTGTTCAATAGATGCTTAAGCTGAAATTGCAAAATTATTCCACAGCAGTTTCACATATATAAATATCTTACGTTAATCCTAACTGTCTCCAAGCATAACTCGACATGCTGGAAGGCTAAAGGATGAAGTTTTTCACAACCTCGTTCACCGACTATGAGAAAGGTTACCAAGTTGAAGGAAACGGAAGCAGGTCAACGCAAACTAAAAGTTAAAACCAAAAAGGCGGCACATGAAAGAGGAATCTAAAATATATATATGATTGTCTGGAGTAAGTGTCATGTGTCAGATGAAAAAGTACTTTATAGCATAAATTAATTTAGAAGGGTAACATATGAATGTTTTCAGAAGAATGGCCTAAATGTTAGAAATTGGACTATTTATTGAATATTCTTGAAAACAATGTTTAGTAACTCATTCCGGAATAAGTCGATGAAATGTTTGATGATGTTTCATTTTAAGTTAACTTTTGATAAGCTTAAAAAGACAATAGTTATTTGTAGAAAAATTTATTGATCTCAAATCTTAGCTGGTAGCAGTGACGTATATAGTACATATAGTGTATGGCTACTAATAGGATGTCCGTGAAGTTTACAAGAAACTTACATTTAGGCTATATATACATATTATGTATTGTGGGCGTCAGTAGAAACTTGAATTATAATAATCTCGGCTGAGATTTGGCTTAGGTAGATATTCGGACTGACGCCTTCACTGTCTTCACCTTCGGTGAAGGCATCAGTCCAAATATCAAGCTGAGCAGAATCTCTGTTGACTGATTAAAATTGTAACAGTCTGTTAGTCAGTTACATTAGATTTATTATATTTATGTCTCAGGTGTCAGCCTCAGATGGTTTTTTGGTAGAGCACCTACTAGAATTTAGGTAAAATAATCTGAATGTGTCTTGACAGGCTCTCATCTCCATTTTTGTAGGACAAATATAATACTGTTTTAACAATCGCATGTGTTTTAAAAAATCTGAGATTTCTCCCTATTAGACTTACATTTGGCTTTCATTATATATTAAAATCTGAGTTATCATAGTATGTGGTTCCATATCTGGAAATAGATGTTGTTACAAACTTCTGGTTTATTCAAATAAAAGTACATTTAACATGTTTGAAAAAAATATATTGAGGTTTCTCTGCATGAGGTAGCTGTCAAAAATTTGTTTTTTAATGAAAAGAATGCCAATCCTACCCTATTGACTAGTAACATGGCAAAGCTATTTGTTCATGATTTGAGTCTATTCAGTTTATACTGACTTTTATTTACTCATTTACATCGTAGTTGATAATTAACATGGATGTGTCATTACAAAAAAAGAGGTGGAGACCCGAGATAGCCCCTCCCACAGAGGAGATTGTGACCGAAGGACAGAAACAGCTGAAGACTCTACTGGATAAACAGCTCCAGAAAGATGTCACAATTCAACAGTAAGGAGATTAAAACTTCATAGTGCAAGTTTAAATTTACAAAAAAAATTCTCTCAGTTATAAAAAAAAATGTATAAAAAAAATACTCAAGTTATATCTCTCCACGATGTAGACAATATATTTCATCTATTCTACTAGAATTGAAGGTCAAATAAATTATGTATTTAGACAGTTGGCCCAAAAGCGGACTTTTACCTCTGCATCAGCCCACTGCCCAGCAGTTAACTCACTTTCAGGACTGACATCTTTGGACCACTTTCAAGAGGTAGACAAACTAGATACCTATACAGAGGAACTGAAGAAATGTGGCTTAACAGAAGAGGAGATTCAAATTAAAATGATGGCTGATGATTCACACAAGGTTAGAGGGGACAGAAACAGAAAAAAATTCTGAATTTTTCATTTTCTCAGAGAATCTTTTTTTAATTACTGAAATAAACATTATAGGCTCCATGCATTCTTATCCATTATCTAATCTGTGTAAAGTTTTATTAGAAATAGCATGATTGGATATATTTTTGCATTTTTCCACATCAGAGTATTCAAGTGCTTAGTATATATTGAATGTACTTCAAAGGTATTTATGTAGAAAATTGATTTACATGTATCAAGACTGAAGAGCCATGTTGGATCTACTCGAGGTCTGTTGCTGTGCCACCCTTTCACCCTTTTATATATGAGGTTATGAAATGAAAGCAAATACATGTATGCATGTTGTCTTCAAATTAAAGCTGTACACCCAAAAAATAATCATGAGTAGTAAACTATTTTTTTTTTATTCTTTACAGTCACAGAAGAAACGGAATTTTGGTATAAATCCTTTAATATTGGATGAAAAATTGAAGAAAATAGAGGAAAAAATTGAAAAGAAAATGTTTGAATTGAATCAAAGGGATAAAATTCATGGACAGAAAACTTTGACAAGACATGAAATGGAATTGGAAAGATCACTCCTCAGAGATTGTACCTCTGATGATAACAGAAAAGTGATTCAAGCATTAACAACGGTTCAAGATCCAAGGGAGACTACTCTACCAAAAGATCCAATGAACCATCTCCCGGAAATATTAGAAAAAATAACCAGAAAGCCAGAGAGGCACAAAGGACGAAAAAACAAACCAAATGACTTAACTGATAACTCTGATGTACATTGCCAAGTTGACAAAGCTAAATATGAATTCAAGGATAGTTCTGGTAGTGTTTTAGAAGACAAGCAAACAGAAGTAGAATTTGAAGAAGAATTTGGTGAAATAGCAACCTGTGAGCCAAGGCCCTTAACTCCTGTACCAGAAGTTTCCATGGAGGACATTCAGAAAAATAAACTTACAACTGAAGAAATTAAGATGCTACCAAAGTTTGGAAATTATCACCCTGGAGACCCTAGTAAGGTAAGCTTTCAGAATCCTTTATATAGATTTAATGGTTTGAATGTGTATGGGGTTTCATTGATAAATAAAAATTAATTGTATCTTACAAATAAATGACATGACAATTTGACTACCTACAGATTAAAAACACATGTATATTAGAAGTGGTTGTAGAAATTTGATTTGAGAAATATTTTTTCAGGTTCTTTACTTAAAGAACTTGTCAGGAAAAGTTCATCAGCAAGACCTGGAGTCCTTATTCAAGAAGTTCCAGAAAGAGGGATCAGATGCCCTTAATTACAGGGTGATGAAGGGCAAAATGAAGGGTCAGGCATTCATTACATTTCCTGGTAAGTTTCACAAATTTTACATCTTTTCATTTAATTTATTTTCATTTTTTTTTTGGTGTTTTCATGTTAGTGTAAAGAATGAAGCTTACTTTGAACAGAAAATAAAAGCCAAAGTCAATTGCATAGTTGTGAAATTTAGTGTAAATATTTTACAATCTGTCAAACCAACCTAACATTTGGAAATGTCTTCACTGCTACAACTAACATTTCTCTTCATCTCTTACAGATATTGATACAGCATCGTATGCCATGGAATGCGTGAATGGTTACAACTTAAAAGGTAAACCTATCATTATCCAGTTTGGAAGGAACAGCCCCAGTAGCCAGTCAGCAACTTGAAATTGTTTTATTAAAAACAGAGATCACAATAAATACCGAAACTTAATAAATCTGTGCATTTAGTTATTCATTGAGAAAGAGATTCTTCAAAGTGCAGTAATCATATGACTATAAAGGCAACCGAGTCATTGTGTTTTCCTTAACAAATGTGAAAATATTTTTAAATGATCAGTTACTGGAAATTTGACAAAGAAAACAAGTTCAATAAATATACTTTATTCTTCTGTAGCACAAAAAACAACAAAATTAACAATGATAAAAGGTCTGATAACAAAGAAAAAAATCAACATTAAATGAGGTGAAAAATACTAAAATAACAATAAGACCCTTATTGCAAACACACTCAGGTCAGTATATATTTAAAAAAGGAAATCACTTTTAGCCATAAATTTTATGTACAATACACTAGTAGCCCATTTCAATACATGTACAATCAATCATCTTTTTTAATGAATGACAGCAAAAGATAAATGAATCATTGTAGTCAGTAATTGTAAAAGTTAATAACATGACATGAGGTAAAAGAAAATAAATTTAAAAATCTTAAGAAGTTATGAAATTCTGCAATCTGTCTATTTGCAACTGACAAAAAGTAATTGTTTATGTGTTTAGAATTTGCAAACATGTTTTTCCCCCTAATTCTACTGAAAATTGGTTAAAATATAATTAAAACATCACAAATGGTGAATCACAGACAATATAATATCACAGTATTGTAAAATTTTGATTATGTACACAATTTATGCAAACTTGAGAAGGAATGTCAGGAATTTAAAATCACCAAACAAGTGATTCAGATGGGTAAAAAAAAAAAATTAAGGGTATCAGATAAGTTTGTCTTTGGAGCTTCAGAGTTTCCAAGAGTTTGAGAATAGCCCAGAGTGGTTTCCGGAATGGTTGCCAACATGAGATGATGTGTTACCATGGTGATAATCTGCCATTTGCTTCTGTAAGGCAGACAGTTGTCGTCTGATGTCTTCCTCCTGTCAAAAAAACCCCATAAACTGTCATATTTAATAAACATTTTTTTGGTTCAAAATTTGATGTACTGAGACTATCAGTAAATTACATTTGCTTAAAAAGAGCTTTCATGGCAAATTTTACCACTGCTTTAGCATCCCACTTTTCAAAAATATGAAATATCCTTACAGTAGAAGCATTGGTTGATCGTAAGTCTTCTAGAATGGTATTTTTAGCCGCATAAAATGAGGTCTTGACATAGTCCGGATGGTCCCTGTCACTCGATCCACCCACACCAGAATCACTTCTCAATGAACTCTTAGAGCTGGTTGTCAACAAATCCTCTGTAGCCATCTCAAGCCTAAAATTTAATGAAGTCTGGCCTTATTTCAATGTCAAAGTGCAAGACTTTGATTTATTAGATTGTTTCAGAAATTACTCGAACCTTGTTCTTTCCAGCTCTTTTGCAGTGTTTTCTGCCTTGATGACAAGTTCAGCACAAAGCTCATCCATTCTCTTGACAAATTCCTCAAATGCAGCTATAAAAGGCAAATAAAGAATATCATAGACAACTTAGCTCACCTGTTTCCAAGCATGGTCAAGTTTTAAATACACAATACATACATTTGAGGCCTTCCTCAACTATGATGACATCTTGCTGTAAAGCAGATGTATTGCACAAGTCCTCTGTCAGACTATCATTCTGGTCGTTTGGTTCATTCAGGATGTCATGGAACATCTGCTCACTGTCTATCAGACTGTTGTAGTTCATACCAATACGGCGCGCAGCACGGGACATCTTCCTACACATTTGGTTGATATGCTTCAGTCGCTGAACCTCATTTTCGATATCGTCATTAAGAGTTTGACGTGTCAATTCAGACTTCTCTTTCATTACGTGCCAGTATTTCTTGAAAACTTCCATTGTTCGAGATTTCCAAGAACGAGATCCCCCACGGCTTGTGTATGCTGGCAATAAAAAGAAAGAAATGTTACCGAACAATCTGATCATTAGAAGGATTCATTCTTTCATTTTCAGTTAATCAAAAAAAGAGAGAAAATTCATTGCTTACATCTATCTCCATTTTCATCTTGATCAATCATAGATAAAGCACTCATAGCAGTTGGCTCAATATCCTCTGCATCAATTTCGTCTTCCATTAGGTGACGTTTCTTCAGATGTTGACGCAATAGTTCTGGGACCTTAGAGGTGTCTGTTTTCCTTGTCTTTCTGGGTGTTGAGGAATCTGCAACAGAAAAGATCACATATTTACATAAGTACACAGCTATATGGATTTGTTTTTGCTGTTTGACAGATGATGGAACACCAAAGTACTGAGCAATCAGTCTTACCCATTGCTAAATATGAAAAATCTTCTTTGATCTCCTCATCAGCAGAACTGTCCAGAGTTTGAACATCAGCATCTCTTGTCAAACGACTGGACTGCAGGACACTGTTGTCAGGAGCTGAAATCGAACAACAAGCCTCATTTAAAGTTGATAGTTGAAGTTTAGAGAATTGAAAGAAACTATTAGTCTGAAAATGCTAATAAATTTTTTGTGCATTCTTACCAATGTCAGAATGCTGAACGCGACCATCAGGCATTACATAAATATGCACACCACTGTGATTGCCATAAAAATATGGAGCAGGTGTTTCAGTTGTTTGTTGTGACTTGTCACGTGTCTTTCCTAATGCAGCATCTTGCTTTTCTTAGTGAATGAAACACACAAGTGTTAGTGAATTTTACACAACAAACAGTTATTTGAACAGTGAGAAAAAGTCTAGTCAAAGTGTAGAAAGTCTATATATTCACGAGCATGCTAATCCAAAGATAGGGAGAACAGAACTGAGAATATACACTCTGCAAGTCATCTAAAATAACAAGAATGTGATGTAAACAGTAAGAGATAGAAAGTAAAGACCAGTTGTTAGTGACTATATATACATTACCTCTGAGAGATTGAAGGACCTCCTCTGCAGCAGTTATATCCCCATCTTCTTCTGGAAGTCTGAGTCGTTTTACCTTCAGAAGGACTGCCTCCAGGGAGGGGATATCACACATTCTAGTTGCCTTTCTCAGCTCCTTTCTAGCTATATCTTTTTCTGTGTTAATGGGTAGAAAGGTGGAAAAAGGTAATTTAGGTTTTGTCATCAAGGTGAAATAGTTGAAAAAATGGAGGACCATTTCTCTAGTTAGTACATGTACATTAAAATATAAAACAAGAAGTATGACTGCAGGTGATACTGCATTAAATATTGTTCTATTGGAAAAGCATTAACTGAAGGGATATGGGTGAATTTCTTTCTACTTTTGAGGGGAGTAATAAATAGGGGCCAATAGCCCTATTTTCAATTTCTTTCCCATCCTAGTTAATAACTTTAACAGAGAAGCTTATTATCACTCACCTTCTAGGTCTACTAGCTCCCTCAACACTCTCTCTGCTCTGACTATCTCCACATCCACCTTGTCAGGCTTCAACTCTTTAGCCCTGTACAACAGCTTCTGTAATTTCTGTCTGTTCCTGTCTTTCACTGCTTGTTTCAGTCGCATGAGCAGTCTGGCATATTCTAAAGTATGAAGGAATTACAAACTTTAATCCCCCTTTTTACCTGCATTGTATTAAAATATCTATAAATAGCATCTGTAATTGTACTTACTCTCCTCTTCAAGAGTCTCTAGTTCATCTAATGCTTTCTTAAAGAGCCCCTCTTGTTCAACTTCTATTTGTAAAAGTTCTTCTTTCGAAACAACCTGCAAAGGGATTATACTAGATAGTAACACTCAATGCACTCGCATAAATTCTCCTTTTTTCCCCTTCCTAATTAGATATTATCTAGTGCTGTATTAAAAGTTCATTACCTGATATGAAAGCAGTTTAAATGGCTGACCATGTAGTGATTCACTGGCAAGAAGATCCACTGTACTCCTGGGTGGCCCAGTCTTTAGATATCCTTCCCAATAACCTTCCTCATTTCGCTTGAGATGGCATTCAGGGTGACCTTTGACCTTTATAGTGTGGGCCTCTGGGACAGAAACTGAGATCTTTGTCATCTCACCAGAAGGTAAAAACAAGCTTCTGGGCTCTTTAAGGTGATAACCATGACACCAGTCTGGGATACTGGATTGAATGGGAGATGGCATTCCTGCCAAAGTGGGCAAAACGACTTCGATGATTTTGGTGTAGATAGTAATGTATTTGTTATCGTCTTGGATGCTGTCAAGCCTGGCATAGAGCGTCAGTTTGTAGGTACCACTCTTGGGGAATATAGCAGTAACCTTAACCTTATTATCTTGTGTGTCACAGACAACGTAATTGTCAAAAGTTTCGGACTTGTCTCCCTCTTCAAGCTCCAAAGATGCAGCAACAAAGATATCATGGGGTTTGTGAATCTGCATAGAAAATTCTCCAGTGACGAGATTATTAATGTAGGACGTCCATGCGTTGTCTTCTTTGAATCCTAGTTCGTGGAATTTCTCATGAGTACCAATATGTCGTCCGTCAATGTTTGGTAAGGGTTTGGTCTGTAATGGCTCATCATCGCAGCTAACAAGATAGCTGCAAGCCGGAGCAAATCTTGTCTTCTTGAACTTCTCCTTCGCCATCACGTTCAAAGCATATTCTCCGGGCGATGGCAACCTTAAGCTGATGTTCATTTTTCCATTTTCTATCGTATGTACCACGTGACCATCCGTGACTGAGATATCCTGGTCACCTTTGACAAGATCGTGTTTGAATTCGAGATCTTTTTCCAGAGTAAACGTGATTTCAGTTTCACCATCGTCTGCTTCCACTTGTCCCTTCCTGTGAGTAACAGGTACCATCCCCATATCTCTCGTGTCCTCTCCTGGCCCCCACTCTTGTCTGATGTTGGGTGGCAGTGGAGTTATAACACCCTTAATACCAGTGCATCTGATGAAGTACGTCACTAGCAAAGCATGGCAAGATTCAATATTTTGACTTCCGTGTAATTCAAACAGGTACTCTCCCTCGGCGGGACATCGTATCTCCGACCTGACTTCACATTCGTCAATGTCTCTCTCCATGAAGACGTATCTGTCCAACTCTTTCCTGGACGGGTCTATTG